TGCAGATCTCATATTTTCTGTACAAAACTGGAAGTTTTAAATAATATATTATAACAACTCAGAATTCTGATTCCCCTGTCCCCATCCCTGGAGTTGTGATAGGTGTTTGTTTAGAAAATTGTCTGGATGGTTAGTGCTGTGGAAACTGTCTCTGCTGTGGTATATAGCCAGTGATGTCTATGGTCATTAAAAAAATTTTGTCTTTTTTTAAGTCTGGTCTTCTGCTGGTGTTTACCATAGCTTAATAATCAACCAGTGATTGTTCAGAAGTTGTTAACAAACACTTCAAGCCCATAAGGCTTCCATACCCTTTGCCAATGGATCTCTGTGTTACTTGGGGAACACATTCAAAGTTCAGTTTAAAGCCTTCCCTAATGTCTACTTTCCACCAGACCCCCTCATGTTTCCTCTATATGTGTGCAGAAACTCGTATTCAGCCGGAAATGTGTGAATGTCATTTCTGATCATTCTTGAGTGTGTATGCAAACTTATGCATGCACACAACTTTCCGGTCAACCTGAGGAATATGTGGCAGCTTGTCAAAGCCCACTGTGGTTGTCTCATTCCCCTAATCTTCCTGTTAGATTTCTGGCTAGCCCATCAGTATGTTTTTCCACCCAGACAGAATTATAACCTCAGGCTGTAACACTGTCCTTCTTGGTTCCTTTGTCACCAAGACTACTACTGTATCTGGCAATGCCCAAGGATGAGAGCTTTTTCTGCTCTTTGATCTAAGTCAAGTCAGCCTCACTTCTCAGCGAAGCTGCTAGTTTTCACTAGAACTTCCTCACTGTTAGAGCAGGAATTAGAGAACAAAAGCAGTCCCAGACAAAAATAACATAGACTCCCACTGTTATTACTGAGTTTCAGTAATTTGTCTTGAATGAATCCTTCTCATTTTTTTCTTTTTTTTTTTTAAGTTAACTTCTAGAGTCCCAAAATGGTTGTTATTGATAATTGTCCAATTTTATCATTGCTTTTTGGGGAGATTTGTCAGATCCTCTCTTCTTCATCCCAGAAGTCCTGTCCCCACATCAACATTGAAAGATGATTCATTTTAAGATAACTACTCAATGAAGACCTTGGCTGTGTCTGTGGTGTTGGTGGTCATCTGTTGCATTAGTGGCCTTCACTAATGAGCCACACCTCCCACCATTCATGCCTTTGTGCAGCACTCCCACACCCCTTCAATCTAGGCTGGGTCTGTGACTTGCTTTAAACAACAGAATGCAGCAGAAACATCGCTGTGCCAGTCCCAGGCATAGGCACTTAAAAGGCCTGGCAGCTCCTGCTTTTATATTCTTGGGAGCCCTGAACTGCCCTACCCTAGGGAGAGACCACAAGGAGAAAACACATGGAACATCTAAGGAATGTCATGGACACTAAGAAATGAGGCCTCGGAAATTTGACCCAAATAAAACTAGCCCCACTATTGCAGCTATCCAACTTAGGCACCAGTCATGTGAGTGAAGAAGACATCTTGGAAGCTCCAGTCCCAGCAGGTGTCACAGAAGCGGAGGGTAGCCATCCCTATTAGGTCCTACCTATATTCCTAACTCCTGGAATCATGAAAAATAATTTAAAATATGATTGCCAACTTAAGACACTAAGAAATAGATAATAATTCAGGCAATAGATGACCAGAATATTTCCAGGTCACAACCACAGCTGACTTCTTGTTCTTAGTTTCAGCTCCCACACATCTGCCAAGGTTCAATAGCCTCCTGGTCCAAACTCATTAGTCCCTACCGAATTTGTGTTGCATTCTGCGTACATGTCACCTGAAGCACAGACAATGTTCACTTTGCGCAATGCTCTGCAGAGAACCCAGCAAAAATAGGCACTTAATAAAAGGCTTCACACTGACACTCATAGTTAATATGATCATGAGTCACACCAACTATTACCACCCAGGAAAGAAACCACTTTCCCCTTCTTAGTCAGTGACTCATGCTGGCAGGATCAACGCAATACTTCCCCATCTGCACGCCCTTCCAATGCCAAGAGCCCTTACTGATAAAGGCTGCTGTTGCTAGAATTCTATTTTCATCCACAGCCTCCTCAGTTCTGAGCCTGTTTGGGCCACATGCATTTTGTTTTCCCCAAAGTCAAGGCCTCATGGTTCAGATTCCTACTCACATGAAAGGAGCTCAGTGTCAACTGAATGAAAAGTCGTACAAGTTTCGCAAATCCTTCAACTTGATCATCAGTAATGAAAGAGAAGAGGATCTCATGAACACCCAATAAAGGAATGAGGACCAGTGTTGATTTCGCCAATCTGTAAATGACAACCAAATAACAGTCATGAGGGCCACATGGGGAACGAACAGGCAACATTTCCTGCTCTCCCATGGTGACTTTGTTGTAGCTCTTACTGTATTGATAGTTTTTTCCCAGTTGGTCTCCTTCACTGCAACATTTAATGCTTCAGGGCCATTGTGATCTTGTTTACTGTTGGGTTCCTACATTTGATGCATAGCAGATGCTCAGAAATCATGAACTGAATGAATGAGTTCATGAATTTCTCCATATAGATTATCACGTCTGCCGATCTTAATGTTTTGCCTGATGGATAGATTTCCATGCAAGTGACTGCCACCCTGGGATACTCCACCCCCACCAGGTTTGTTAAGTTTCCTATCACTTGACTAGCAGTTTCCTCTATCTCTTTCTCTCCTCAGGACTTTCAACATTAGTATTTCCAGTGTTACCATGAGAAGGAAGAGAAAATGAGTTGCCCAGGATACTAAGACAGGCACTAAGTGGCAAGTCCCAGGCTGGAAGTGGGGTATCTGACCTGCAGTTCTGACCTTCAGACTCCTTTCTGGACTGTGCCATCAGCCCTCATGTTGCCCCTTAACCCTGGTGACAGTGAGGCCTGCAGGAAATGAAAAGCTGATTCTCATAAAAAGCGCTGAGTGGAAGTTCTCTGTTGTATATAGTCTACACGAAAAAGACAAACATTCCTTGTGCCACCCACGTGTAAAGTGCACAGCTGGGGCCCAAATGCTCCATACTGGTGGTTCCCAAACATGGCAGACTATTACAATTCCTTACAGAGCTCTTAAAATACATGCATACAGTTTCGTGGGCCCCGTGTGTCAACTCCCTGAATCCATACCTCTGGAGGTTGGGTCCTAGGAAGTCAACTTTATTTTAAGAGACAGAGTCTCCCTCTGTCACCCATGCTGGTGTACAGTGGCATGGTTCTAGCTCACTGCAGCCTTGAACTCCTAGGCTCAAGCAATCCTCCTGCTTCGGACTCCAGAGTAGCTAGGACTACAGGTGTGCACCACTGTGCCTGACTAATTATTTTATTTTATCCTTTTTGTAGAGATGAGGTCTTATGTTTTTCCCCAGGCTGGTTTCAAACTCCTAACCTCAAGTGATACTCTTGCCTCGGTCTCCCAAAGTGTTGGGATTACTGGTGCAAGCCACTGCACCTGGCCGGATGTGGACTTTTAAAGGAACTCCCCATGGATCCTGAGAAGTAGACAGGTTTGGAAATAACTGCTCTTTACTGTTGAGCTACTTCTTGATTTAAAACTGACTATATTAGCAGAGATGACTCATATTCGGGGTACAAACAAAGCTACTGTCTTATCCACATTGGGAAAGTGGAGCATAATTGTAACGATTTTTCTTAGCTCAAGTCACTTCTTATAAAGGGGCCAGACTAGGAGGAACCTCCCCTCACACCCCATGGAATTAAAGGTATAGAAAAACAGGATGGCTTTAGCAGTTCATGGGGGAGTCTCTTAAAGAAGGTTTAACTCTGTCCAAGAGCAAGAGCTTACTGTGAGTCCTGTGTCTGCAAGGGCCATTCAAATGCAATGTTATCAATGAAACAAACAAGCTCACCTTTGGGCCCCCAAAGGATCTAAAGCCAGGAAGAGGGGTGCAGGAGCCACCAGGATGGAGGGGCTCCACCTGGCCATGTGGGTGGGTGGGTGGACCATAGCCTTGGCTGTCAGGCGAGGCTGATGAGCAGAGAGATGGAATCATGGGCCTTCGCTATGTGGTTCCCTTAAGCTGAGCTCAGATCGACTCCCACCTCAACATCTACCCCTACAGAAGTCACTTCGCTAGGCAACATTAATATGCTCCCCACGAGAGAACATTTCCAGGGTTTTGTATTCCCAGGAGTGTTTTTAAAGCCCTCTGGCCCAGAGGTTACAAAGTGGTGAGCATGGATGGTAACTGACCTGCAGGCAGCTTTTGCTTAGGCCTTTTTCAGGGGAGAAGGGCAGGAGCCCCCACCCAGCTTGTGCTACTGAATTTGTAACATTTTTAGTTTTTGGTTGCTGATGGGGTTCAGAACATACTCCAAAATATGGCACCTTGATATACCAAGTATTTTAAGCTGAAGGAATTTGAGGAATCTGCAGAAGCAGGATGATCTCTCTGACTTCCCGCCCTTCTCCCCTGAAACAGGTCATAAGCAAACGGAGCAATTTTTGTTATTGGAGTCATCTTTAAAAAATAGTATTTCCAGTCAAAGTGTTCAGGTTTCTGGCTTCTTTTGATGAGGCAATCTGGCAACGCTGGGCTCAAATTCTTGCTTGGCAATCGTTAGCTACAGCCGGGCAATGGCTGTCCCTTTAGAGGAAACCTGTGACCTCCAGCCCTCTCCCGGCTTGTACTACTCAACTGTGTTACTTGCTTGACCCTTGCAAGAGTCTGAATTGGTGACCCTTACTCAGGGTCGTCTGAGTTTTCATGACCCAGACTTTTATGCCTACAAGCAGACCTTGTCTTGTCATCAGCTTATTCCGATGCCATGTTATGGTGTTAGGTTTTTTAAAATAAACTTTTAATTTTGGAGTAACTTTAGATTTACCCAAAAGTAGTGAAGGCAGTACAGGGAGTTCCCATGTATCTTCACTCAGTTTCCCCCAATGTTAACATATTACATAACCATGCACATTTGTCAAAACTAAGAAACCAACACGGTATATTACCAGTAACTAAAGTTTAGAATTTATGTGGATATCCCACTAATGTCCTTTCCCTGCTCCCTGATCCCACATCTTGTTTAGTACAGAATGATCTGTAAAGAATAACAATTTTTTAATAGTTTTAGGCCACTTACCCTTCTGGATGGACACATGAAGGGATTCTCTACCCTTCACCTTATTCTAACTTCTCCTTAGACAAAGTACTATTTGTGTTCCTGTTCAGATCAAAATCCATAAATAGCAATAGCAGTTTACTCTTACAGACTATGTTTATGCTCATTTTCATCTATAACCATTTGTTTATTTAAATGGTTCCATTTATTGCAATCATTTAACTATCCAACAAATATTTATTGAGCATCTGTTTATGGCACATGAGTGAATGCAGTGGGAAAGAAGGAGTTGTAGTCAAAGACAGTAGGGCACAGGAGGAATAGCTGGCTGGGCCTCGGTTCAAATCCTGGTGTTGTCAATTACTAGCACTATGACTGTGGGCAAATTATTTAACCTCTCTGTCAGTTTCCTCATCTGTAAAAAGAGGATCATAAGAGTAATAGCATCTACCTGACAGGGCTGTCATAAGGATTAGACAAATAACATGGTGTAAACCCTCAGAATAAATGGTATCTGACATATGATAAATGATCAATACATGTTAGTTATTACTATTTTTAAAGAAGCCCCTGTCCTTCAGTGGCTTATAACTTCACTTTTTAAAAATCAATTTTACTTGAATATGTAACATTTTTAGTTTTTGGTTGCTGATGGGGTTTAGAACATACTCTAAAATACGGCACTTTGATATATCAAGTATTTTAAGATGATGGAATTTGAGGAAACTGCAGAAGCAGGAAGATCTCTCTGACTTCCCGCCCTTCTCCCCTGAAACAGGTCATAAAACCTAGGAAGGATTTTCTGACCTTCTCCTGAAGCGGATCACAAGACCCTCATACAAGAGGTGGAGGAAAGAAATGTCCTTATTTCTGAAAACACAGTGACGCAAGAATCTATACAAACAGGTCTTGCTAACTTTCCCCCAGTTTAATACCATTAGATCCCCTTTGTTCAGTCATACTTCCCCCATGCTTGTCCACTTTGCATCAAACTTAGCATAAAAATACACAAGTTTGACTATTTCTTTGGGTCTTCCTTTCTTTATGAAGTCTCCTGCGTCACATAAAACTTATGAAATAAACTTGCATGCTTTTTATCCTGTTAATCTGTCTTTGTCTAATTTTCAGACCCAGCCAGGGACCCCAAGAGGGTTGAGGAAAAGCTTTTGTTTCCTACATTGCCTATCAGAAAGTCCTTTCAGAAAGAACTGGGGTTTAGCATCTTAAGAAATGCTTCTCCTTTATAAATGAATCAAGAGCTCTTCCCAGGTGCATCCCATGGAGAGTTAAGGCCAATTATCCCTAAGGGAAGAGAGTTACCTCTGAGTTGGGAACCACAAAGAACAGAGAACTCCAGCTGAGCTGAGGGTCTGCTGAACTCTGTGCCCATTCCTAGGGCATTGCTTACCCAGTTTACAGCCCGAAAGTTCCTCCTTCACATTTGGCTCAGTTCTCTCTCTCCACGCCAGACAGATGGACCGTTTTTTACTTCTTTTGCTTGATGGTGGAAGCCCAGGGACAAGGGCTAAGACTACAGAAGGTTCTCTGGCTCCTAGCAACTTGCCTCTTTGGGAGGGCCTAAATGTATTTAATTTAAACTTTCCTAAAATATAATCCTGGAGGGAGGCCAGATCAGGGTTACATTCTAAAAGTTCTCAAAAATCTTCAAGAGTTGGAGGCAGCCTGTACCTATAAGAGTTTGGATGAAATGTGCTGGGCCCAATCACCACCTCCTACTTATCCCATCAGAGATCTTTAAGGGAAAACAAACATGGAAGGGAACGAGGAAGAGGAACAGCTTTCCAACATGGAAGAGGGTGGTGTGAGCTCAGAAGCTGAGGGGTGCCAATGCCCCACTGGGCTTATAGTAAAGAGCCCTCTCTCAGAATTTGGAAATGAGAGAATTAGCACTGCTTTCTGAGAGCACAATGGGCAAATGAGTTCATAGATGCTGCAGCATTCGCCAGCCCAGGGAGCAAAATAAGGTGGCTTAGTTGTGTCCTGAAAAATAGGTCCTTGCCTTTTGTGAATGAATAAGCATTAGCTAATCAACTGTATTGCACTCTACACGAAGAGCAAGTAAGTAACAGAAAATCGGCCAACCAAAATGGCAGGGAAAGCACAGAGGGATGACGTTTGCAATAACTATCCCACCCTAGCCTGAGGAGGGCACATCAGATCCGGGGAACGAGCCTCTTTCCCAACAGGTAGGTGGTGCTGTGGGCAGGTGGTGATTTTCCAGGCCACCCTCAGGATCCTTCAACAAGACTCTGCTTTGATGATGCGATCACCAGCAACATTCTGGTGACTCTGGATTCCCGGATCTTCTGGTGTTGCAATTAGGAAATTTGGGGAGGTGCGTGGGCACTAGAAAGGAATGCTCTACCTCCACTCCCAACTTGCACAGACATTTAAAATGAACAGTGTTCTAGTTTGTATACATTGTGAACTCAGCTGGGGTCAGCCTTCCAAAGTCTCAGCCACTTAGGAATATAGATGGATTCCCTGTACCACACCAGGTGGTGGCAAGGCATTTTATCCTGGGAGGCCTTTGGGTAGACATACACCCAGGTACCTCTTTTATTTATTTATTTAGTTATGGAGACGGAGTCTCACTCTGTCACCCAGGCTGAAGAGCAATGGCCTGATCTTGGCTCACTGCACTCTCGGCCTCCCAGGTTCAAGCAATTCTCCTACCTCAGCCTCCCGAGTAGCTGAGATTACAGTCATGTGCCACCATGCCCAGCTAATTTTGTATTTTTCTTTTTTTTTTCTAGTGGAGACAGGGTTTCACCACGTTGGCCAGGCTGGTCTCGAACTGCTGACCTCAGGCGATCTGCCCACCTTGGCCTCCCAAAGTGCTGGGATTACAGGCGTGAGCCACCGTGCCTGGCCTGTTATTACTATTAAAAAGGAAAAGGGTCTCACTCTGTGGCTGAAGCTGGTCTAGAACTCCTGGCCTCATGTGATCCCTTCCCATTAGGCTCCCAAAGTGCTGGGATTATAGGCATGAGCCACTGCACCCAGTCCCAAGTTCTTTAGCTTTTCCTCTGAACAGCAGGGGAGAGAAAAAAATGAATTTCCAGACAGACTGCATATGTCAGTCAGGGTTACTCTTTCTAGCCACAAAGCAGTCACCATGGACCATCGCTCAGCCATGAGGGTCTCCCCAGTATCTTGATTTACCCTTTCCCAGACCAATGACTCTCGGTGGGTGTGCACACTGCAAGGCTATGCCAGGCAATCTATTTGATATTGGAAGAAAATACTATAATAGAGGATAATAGGAGTTGTATATGTATTAATTTTTTTCTATCCTCTTAAATTTTCTATTTGTTGGTATATCTTATAATACATATATTAGCTCACGAGACCATGCATACACATGGGGAGGGACATGATCAGAATTTCTTTACTGATAGAGATGCATGATCAAAAAAGTCTGGAAACCACTGTGTTGGATAACCCTAGAGGGGACTCTGGAAAAGAGAATATTGAGGCTGCATGACATTTTGTCATGGCCCTACCAGAATATTTCAAGTGTTCTTTCACTAGAACATCTGACCCAGAGGTCCTCCACGTGGGCTGGGTATCAGAATCTCCTGGGAGAGTCTGTAGCAGGGGTGTCCAAACTTTTGGCCTCCCTGGGCCATGTTGGAAGAAGAAGAGTTGCCCTGGGGCCCCACATAAAATAAACTAACACTAACAATAGCTGATGAGCTAAAAAGGTCCATGCATAACTTTTGTGATATCCACCACCACAGATAAGCAAAAAGTCCCTGCATTCAAAGGATTGGGCACTGTTGCTCTGTGGGGTTCTATTTGACACTTACTGAGCCAGAACACCCAGTGGTGGGCTTGCAAAGCTGCACTTTTGACCAGCTCTCAGAGGATGCTGATGAGCAGCTACGACCGAAAGCTATTTAGGGGTTGCTGTGGGTCTGGGGCACCGGGAAGGTGCCAGTGGCCCAGGGTGGGCTTTAGGGGCACAAAGCAGACAGGGTATCAGCTCTGAGTCCCTTGGGAGCCAACTCACCATTTCTGTCTCCTGGAAACACTAGCTTCTGGCCAGTTTCTGGGGCACCCTGGTTTTCCTGGCACCTGTTTATGGAGAGGACTCTCCTCCCTGAGTGCACCCAGCAGGGTGGACTAGAGCAGGCCTTGAAGCTCCACCCTCAAAGAGTAGTGAGAGAGGCCAGGCCTTGGGAAGAAGGCCAAAGAGACGGCTCGGCCACTTGGAGCCTCGACTGGAGGCGCCAAGTGAGACAGCGTGGCTCCCTGGGGCCCAGGCCAGGCCAGCTCCCCAGGGGTATGGGTTTCTTGCAACATGCTTGGACCAACACTTCAACTAGCAACTATCGTATATGTCTGCCCATTATTGAACCGGGTATGTTTACCCTTCTAGACCTCCTGGAAGGAGGGTAGAGCGGGCCACCCATGTTCATAAGCACATCTTAGCCTCCTTGAATCCTTCTCACAAGCAGGACAAGAGTCTGCCGTGACACTCCCATTTTACACACCAGAAAGCAGGCCAAAGGGGCTAGGCACGTGCCTAAGGCCAGTAGGCAAGTCTAGGGTCGTGGCCAGCTCCTTCCTTTCCACCTCCTGCTCCATGCCAACATTCCAGTCCTTAGTGAAGTAGAACGCATGCTCCTGGAACGCAGGGTCCACATCATGTCCACCATGTTTGTTTGTGTTAAGACAGTTTTGCTCTTGTTGTCCAGGCTATAGTGCAACAGCACGATCTCGGCTCACTGCAACCTCTGCTTCCCAGATTCAAGCAATTCACCTGCCTCAGCCTCCCAAGTAGCTGGAATTACAGGTGCACGCCATCACACCCGGCTAATTTTTGTATTGTTAGTAGAAACAGGATTTCACTATGTTGGCCAAGCTGGTCTTGAACTCCTGACCTTGGGTGATCTGCCCACCTCGACCTCCCAAAGTGCTGGGATTATAGGCGTGACGCACTGCACCTGGCCCCATGTCCACCTTTTATTCCAAGCACAGTACCAGACAAATTGTAGGCATCTATTAAATATTTGTCAGATAAAAGGAAAAACTCCCTTCCCAGCACCTGGGTCAGGCCTTATAAAGGGATGAGAAACAGGGGTAGGGCCATCACTCATGCTCACCTTCTCTGGCCTCCCGTGTGGACTAGAATTTCCACTCTTAGAGCTACTTTGTAGGTTAAAACACTCCCGTCCCAGAGCCCTGCTGAATGCACATGCCACATAGAAAGTAAAGAATAGGCTGGGTGCAGTGGCTTAAGCCTGTAATCCCAGCACTTTGGGAGGCTGAGGCAGGCAGATCATGAGTTCAGAAGTTTGAGACCAGCCTGGCCAACATAGTGAAACTCCACCTCTACTAAAAATACAAAAATTAGCCGGGCATGGTGGCAGGCACACATAACCCCAGCTACTCAGAAGGCTGAGGCAGGAGAATCAATTGAACTCAGGAGGTGGAGGTTGTGGCAAGCCGAGATTGTGCCATTGCACTCCAGCCTGGGCAACAAGTGCAGACCCCATCTCAAAAAAAAAAAAAAATAAATAAAAAATAAAAAAAAAGAAAAAGAAAAAAGAAAAGAAAGAATAATTAGGAAAAGAGGGAGGAAACCCTTTATCTCTCATTCATTCATTCATTTGTTCTTACAGCAATGCTGATCTAATAAATACCTATGATCTGACTTACTTGAATGAGGACTGCTGTCATCACAGAAAGAGGAAGGTGAGATGCAGCAAAGACAAGTCACAAATAAAGGATGCCTGTGGAAGGATGTCTTTCCTTAGACCCTAAAAGTCTGTGGTCTCATTTCTCAAGGTCTCCAAAACACTCAAATAATCTCTTCTCTTCTCTTTAAATCCTTTCCCAAGGAAGGCAATTGCCAAACTTCTCTTCATACAATACTGTCCTTTTCCCACAACCATCCATTCTTGGGATTTTTTTTTTTTTTTTTTTTGAGACAGGGTCTCACTCTGTCACCCAGGCTGGAGTTCAGTGGCATGATCGTGGCTAACTGCAGCCTCAACTTCCTGGGCTCAAGCAGTCCTCTCATTTTGGCCTGGGACTACAGGCATGAAGCATGCCCAGCTAATTTTTAAACTTTTGGTAGAGACGGGTTTCACCATGTTGACTAGCCTGTTCTTGAACTCATGGCCTCAAGCGATCCTACTGCCCCAGCCTCCCAAAGTCCTGGGATTACAGGTCTAAGACATCGCTCCTGGCCTCTTAGGGACATTTTAATGGTTTTCTGCTGGGGAATGTGAGTGCCATTGACCACTCACCATTTTCTTCATCGTCATAGAGTTAGAAGGTCCTCTTCACTGACAAAAGCCTCACATGATCCCATAACACCTTTCCAGAAGTGCTCTTTCTGATACCCCAGCCTTGGGAGATAAATGTCCTTCTCAAGGCATTATGCAGAACAGCCAGAGGACTTACAATAACCTTGGACCACTGGGGGCCAACCTCAAGCCACTCACCTGTATTTATAATCTCTGAAGCACATTTGATGAGCTTTGAGCTTAGAAATGAGAAGCTTGAGAATTTTCAGGAAGATGAAGAAATTGACCTTGAAAAATAAGCAGACTTGGGTAAGTAAGTGATGAACTTCACACAGCTGTCAATTTCAAGGTCAGGCTGGGCTCAGCCATCAGTTCCATGTAAACCAGGGGCAATTTAGCAGTTAGCTGGTCAGGTAGTAAATGCTTAGCTGTGACCTCCACTGTCCCAAAGGCCATCTGAATCTCCAAAGTCCCAAAGGTCATCTGAACTGAAAGTTTGGAAAGAGTTTTAGAAAGTGAGTTAGTTTATTATTCTGCCTTAGGGAGCCCCATCATTAAAGCCATCTGAGAAAGACAGGTGGGCATTCACTTTATTATTATTACTAGTACTGTTACTATTATTAATTAGCACTTATTGAATACCTGGCATGCCAGACTTTGGCCTAAGAACAGTCAGGCATTATTTTATCTAATTTTTACAACACCCCACTGAGGTAGCCACAAGTCTTTTTACCCTCATAATACAATGAGAAAACAGGCACAGAAAAGTAAGTGTAATTCCCAGGTTGCACAGCTGGGATTGAATCAGTGATTGAGCCTGTAATTAAGCCCAGATTTATCAGATCATAACCCTCCATTCCCTTAAACAGACTGCTACTCTACCTCTCTTCTTCAACAGAGATAGAACTTCATCTCTATTGGTGTCTAACTTGAGATCCTACTGCTGCTGTGAAATTCGTGGACAGCATATGTTCTCTACTCCCTAGAACACATTCCATGACTGTCATGGACTGGGAAAATCCAGCCCTTCATGGTTAGCCTTTAACAAAATTTAAAAATATGCCCACAAATTCCTTGGCACTTCTCCCTTCAAAAGGCAGAGCCTAATCCTCCTATTCCCCTCTTGAGGTGAGCTAGATTTAGTCACTTGCACTTCATGAAAAGAATATGGTGTAATAGAAGAGGTGCTATGTGACTTCTGAGCTAGGTCCTCAAAAGGATGGCTGGCGTCCACCCAGTGCACTCTCTCTCTCTCAGGTTTCTCCCTCCAGAGGAGGCCAGCCAGCATTTTGTCAGGATACTCAAGCAGCATATGGGGAGATCCACACAGGGTAACTGAGTTCTCAGGCCAAACACCAGCACCACCCACCAGCTACGTGTGTGCTCCACCTTGGGAGCTGATCCTCCAGCCCCAGCCAAGCCTTCAGATGGCTACAGCCCTGGCTGAGGTCTTGGCTGCAACCTCAGGAGAGATCACGAGCTTCCTGAAAGTGGTGAAAAGCAAGTTGCTGGGTGTGGGTAGAGCTTGGAGAATGAGAACAGGGTTTGTGAGAAGTGAGACTGTAAAGGGAGGGAGCATCAGTTTCTGCAGGGTCTTTTACAGCTGTGCTAAGCAAGGAGTTTGGGTTTTCTTTTGAAAGCAGTGAAGAGCTGGTGATAAATTTTAAGCAGTCAAGTGACCTGATCAGATTTGTACTTCTGCATTTCAGGAAGATAATTTCAGTGGCACTGTGGAGAATGGATTGGATGAGAGTAAGGCTGGAGGAGGAGACACCAGTTGGGAAGTAGTTTCAGAGTTTCTGGGGGAGAGGCAAAAAAAAAAAAAAAGTCCTGAAAATGATGGCTGATTTTCATCCAGCGCTCTCTCTCTCTCTCTCTCTCTCTCTCTCTCTCTCTCTCTCTTTCATTGGATGGAGAGGCAAACTCAGCAACAGCCCTGGTGCTTCAGTGATGGAGAAGAAGGGACCAATTTGAAATGATTAAGAAATATGAGTCAAATGATCTTTGTTATTGATTGGATGTGAGGGCATGACTGACATTTTGTGGTAGATCTCAAATGTGTGGTACTGCCATTCACCAATAAAGGGATCATGTGGGGAAGGAAGAACACTGGGTGGGAGGTAGAGGGTGGATGAGGACTCCAGTAGTTCTGAACACAAAAGATGTTCCAAGGCAGTTAGATATTTATGTCTGAACCTCAGCAGAGAGGTCCCAGCCAGAGCATGAAGACACTGGAGTAAGCCAGATTGTCCAGGGAGACTGCGTAGCTGGGAGAGAAAGAGGGTAAGGTAATCGTTTTGTAGGGAAGGGAAAGATGGAGTAGGGGAGACAGCAAAGGTGATGAAGAAAGAGTAGCTAGGGAGGTGAGAATAAACCACACAGAAGGGGCATCCCGGAAGCCCCCGAAAGGATGAATTTTAAGAACTTAAGCAAAATAAGACTGCATTTCGCAGCAAGGAGCTCACTAAGAGAAGCTGATCAGGGTGGGCAGAGAACAACACACAGTGGTTGGCACCTGGTGGGCACGCGGAGATGATGGTGCTGTGTCTAGGCAGGAAGACTTTCTGCCTCCCTCTGGGATCTTGCCAATCCAGTGTTTGCTAATTTCCTGCCCCTTCCTTCTAGCTTCTTTGACAGATCCCATTCTCATATTCTATTATCTAAAGGAATTTTTGACTCTGGGTCGGCCGTCCCTTTCCATACCAAATATTATGGGCCACAATGATTAAAGGCCCTTCCTCCCTAAGGTCTCAGAGTGGCATCTATGTCTTGATCCTAACCTGCATCACAACTTGGGGTTAATATTGATTGTGTGTTTTCCTCCTCTAAAAGAGGTTGCCTGGGTCTCTTCCTCCCTCCTGCAGATGGCGTTAGGATATAAGCCAATAGCCCTGCTATCCTGGGCTCCTCCATGGCTAAAGGCATCGGTATCCTCAGTGCCTGGTACACTTCTCAGCCCTTCAATACAGGACTGCAGAGCTGACTGCAGGTCTCTTTACATAGTTTGAAGACCCAGATTGAAGGAGGCTTACAATGTAACTCCAAAATTGAGGTCCTGAAACAGAGCAAGACACTTTTAACTTCTTATTCAGCAGAAAATGCTCACAGTTCCGCTTCTCTCTCTCAAGGCATCAGAGAACCTGGGCGAGAGGGGTGGGGTGTGGGGGTGCATGTTCCTCACAGCTTCTGGACTCAGAGACAAAAAGGGTAAGTGGGATGGTCCTTACTGTTACACAGAGTAAAATGGGTCCTCGGATGATCCACCAGATTTTCTTATTCCCATTTGTTGTCCAGCACCTAAGGTCAGAGAAGACAGTAGAAGACTTAAAAACAAGAGAAGATTGAAAGTCGAAGTCCCATGCCCTCTGGAAGAAGGAAGCTTGCCCTCAAGCCTTAATTTCCACCAATCATTCCCCTGAAGGGTGGGAGAGGCAGAGGAGAGAACAAAAATCCCTTCCTGTTAGCACTGGTACTGTTTACTTGCCCTACCACGAAATTGCTCCTCAGTGTTAAGAGCCTAGTGTGTATATCATTCCAAAATTTTCCTCCATGTTCATACAAGTACAAATTCCTAATTACATAGTTTTTTGTGCTGTTTGGAGGAAAATGAGATCGCACAATATACATTTGGGCATAGGCTTAAAATATGCCTTTGAGAATCAATGCCTAAAATTTCCCATAATAACTAACCTGTTTTTCTTGAAGTAGTCTCATAATATTCTGCAATATAGGTATGTCATAATTTTTTCAATAATTCCCATATCGATGAGCATTCAGGGTTTTTTTTGTTCATTTGGTTTTGCTAATTTTTTTCTCACTATGAACAATGCTGCAATAACCATTCCTGTATTTTTGTGCTTACATACCCAGGGCTGCAGCTAACTATACAGCATCTTTGAACTAACTCGCATGTGCAACTAAATTAATAAACTAATTGCTATGAGATCTTTGATTATTTTATCTCCCATTCCTAAGTATATTCTAGATGGCCAAAATGAGAAGGGATGGATATTTTTGTTGGTAAAATGATGTGATTATTTATATTTAAGCATGCCTGGGAATTACTGGCTCGTGAAAGAGTAAAACCCAATGAATTACCTACCCTGTGTTCTCCAGGTGTGCACGGGCGAAACCCCAGGGTACAACAAACAGCACAGGGAAGGCTAGGGAGAAAACACAGGGAAATGTAGTTAGGAGTTGGTTGGCCAAACTTGCTTGTCTCCCACCACAGCTGATGGGGCTAACCACAGGTGGTTAAAACATAAAAACCGAAACATCACGGAGTTGTAGACTGTGAGAGCTGGAGAGACCGAGGGTGGCACAGGGCCCATCAATTGTTTTACCATCCAGGAAACCAGGACCCAGAGAGGGAAAGCAGCTCGATACTTGTCACAAAGCAGCTGAGAATAAATCCAAGGATATTAACCCAAATCTCCTGAATTACCGGCCCCAGGTTATTTCCTCTGAATCCCGCAGCACCAAATTCTTGAAAGGGTTTGTGGAGGTAGGGGGTCCAAATCTAGATACTCTTGGTCATATTTTTTTAATCAGAAAACCTCTTCTTGAAGACCTGATATTATGGACTAAATATAGGTATCCTCCCAAAAGTTATATGTTGAAGCCCTACCCCTAATGTGATGGCATTTGGAGACAGGGTATTTGGTGGTAATTACTCAGGTTTAGCTGAGGTCTTGAGGGTGGGGTCCCATATAGGGACAGGGTTAGTGCCCTTATAAAAAGAGACCAGATAGTTTGATTTCTCTCTCCTCACCATGTGAGAATACAGGAAGAAGGCAACTGACCGCAAACCAGGAAGAGAACCCTCACCAGAACCCAACCATGCTGAACTTCCCAGCCTCCAGAACCATAAGAAATCAATGTCTGTTGTTTAAATTACATGAGTATTTTGTTTTCACATTCCAAGCAGACTAATACAGTTGGAGACAGGGTAGGAGGAATAGCATCAAGTTCCACTAGATTTCTCAGTTTTCAAATGTGTCCATTGGGCCTATAGCACCTGTGCATATATGCACATTTGTGCACGTGTGCACATACACACACATACATACACACCCCTCTTCAAAGCTTCCTGTCCTTGGGGACTGATATGTCCCAGAAGCAACCTCCAGTTAGCTTTCTAAGTCCAACTAAAGTCTCTATCAGGCTCCCATATTTTGATGGATCCCCAGAAGAGGAGACCAGAGGTCAGGTCACTCACCCCAACCCAACAGCAGGTATCTGGGCCACAGCCGTCTTTCAGGAAGCACTGTGGGCTCCAGCAACGCATGGAGGTAGAGGCCTTCGACCAGCAGCCATAAGTAATTGGCACCCACAAAGTAGTGCAAGAGAACCTGGACTAAGCGGCAGGAGGTAGACATCTGCAGAAGACAAAACACCTGAAGGTGAGTCCAGGCTCCCCTGCAACTGACGTTGAGTCTGGAGTAGAAGGCCTCCCAGGGACAACCCCTCCCTCTTTACTCTCGTCTCTCCCAGACCCTTCTGACCATCTCAGGGAGGTTGGCAATAATACCAGAATGCAAAAGAAGGAGAACTTCATGTATGTTTTCAAAGCCAGCTTCTTCCCTACATTGTAGATATTTTTAGATAAACAAAAATGTAGAAAATTCACCATCAGTAACTGCCCTAATGGAAACACTGAAGAGTATGTTCTCTAACCTCAGTTCCATTAAGCTAAAATCAATAATTTTAAAACGTTCATATAATTGGAAATTTAAAAATAGACTTCTAAGCAATCCATTGAACAAAGAAAAAAACCCCAGAAATTAGAAAGTATTTCTTAACTGAATGCAAGGGAAATACTGCATGAACTTACAGTATAAGGCTAATACCAAACCTAGAATAAAACTTATAGCCTTAAGTGCATTTTTTAAAGAGTAAAAGGCTGAATATCAATTATTTTAAGGATCATGTAAAAAAAAAAAGTTAGAAAAAGAATAGCTAACTAAGCCCAAAGAAAGTACATGGGAGGAAATAATAAAGGCAGAAGTTAATGAAATAGAGAACATGCAACAAAGAGAGTTCAACAATGCCAAAAGTTTATTCTTTGAAAAGTCAAATATAGTTGAGAAAGTTGATGCCAAGATGATCAAAGGGTTAAAAAAAGAGCAAAGATACAAATAATCAATATCAGGAATGAAAATGAGAACACTCTTACAGATCCAATGGACTTGAAAAAGGTCTGAAGAGAATATCATGAACATTAGGCCAATAAATTTGAAGTTAGATGAAATAGACAAATTCCTAGAAAAACTCATTTACTACAGCTGACAGAAGAAATAGAACCTGGATATAAGATTCATAACTAATCCATAGTTTAAAACTTTCCAATAAAGTAATTCTGGGTCCAAAATGCTTCATTAGCACAATCTATCAAATATTTAAGGAAGAAATAATAGTCATCTTTAATAAATTCTTCCAGAGAATAGTGAAAGAGGAAACAAGTTCTAATTTGTTTTAAGAGGTTAGCACTAACTTGATCCCCAAACTGACAAAGGCATTACAGATACCTCATGAATGTCAACAAGGAAATACTAAACAAAACACAGTATTAGCAACCTAAGGACAGCAACTTAGGAGAAAGAAAATAATATATCAAAACCTAGTTGGATTTATTCCAGGAACGCAAGGCTAGTTTAATAGGTTACTGCATCATTTAGCAGGGTAAAAGAAAAATCATCTGAATAGATGCAGATTTCAATGTGGAAAAACTTTGCTGCTTTAAGGAAATAGTACAACTGTCCCTCAGTATCCTCGGGAGATTGTTTCTAGGACCCTCTATGGATACCAAAGTCCTTATATAAAATGGCGTAGCGTTTGCCTATAACCTATGCACATGCTTTCACATACTTTAAAGCATCACTAGGTTGCTTATAATACTTAAAACCTTATAAATGCTAGGAGAATAGCTGTAATACTGTATTGTTTAGAGAATAATGACAAGGAAAGAGTCTGCGTATGTTCAGTTCAGACACAATCATCCTTTTTATTCTCAAATATCTTCTATCCTCAGTTGGTTGAATTCATGAATGCAGAACTCACGGATACGGAGGGCCAGCTATAATTGTAAAAAAAAAAAAAAAAAAAAAGGTTGATCTGGTCCAGTTTCTTTGTTTGTACATGAAGAAATTCTCGCCCAAGGACATACAGCAGCCACGGTGAACCCTTCTGCTTTTGGTCTCCTTCACCTGGCCCTGCTCTCGGCAGGTGGTGGTTTTGTTAAGTCACGTACTAGCCAAAAAGTCTTGGAAACCCTTTTATCTCCCCCTACCCCTCTCCAGTCCCACCTGCCTGCCTTCTGAGTCCCAGTACTGACCCATCAGGTGGAGAGTTCAATTTAAACAGTGGGGATGGGGCTTACCTCTGACAGGTAGGACATCCACCCATTCTCATTGTCAGGTCTCTTGGAGTAAGAGTTGTAGAAGACGACGTCCTTCACCAGCACAGCCAGTGTTCTCAGGATGAAAGAAGCAAACAGGTTCATGTGGATGTAGTTGCGTGTGCAGTGGAGCTTTCTGTGCATGGAGAAAACCGAACGAACGCCTTCCCTCAGGAGAGAACGGCTCCACCAATAAGCCTATGCCTTTTATGCCTGTGTATCTATCACTAAAGACAGAGGGTCATAGTATAGTCTGTAGAGCTGGACTGCTGGATTATGTGACCTTATTTCTCTGTGCCTCATTTTCCTCATTTGTAAAATGGGAGTAATAATAGTTATCACCTACAAAACACCTACAACATGCCAGCCATGTTCCAAATCATTTACATATGCTGCTATTTTGGGTATTCTTACTGCTTACCACCACTGGTGGAATATGCACCATTATTACCCTGATTTTATAAATGAAATAATTAAAGCGGAATGATTAAGTCATCTTTCCAAAGTCCCAGAGCAATAAGGTGTAGAGCTGAGATTCAGACACAGAAATTCTCAGGCTCTTCTGCCTCTGAGAACAAGAGCACTTACCTCCAGGGGTTGTGAGATGATTAAATCAGTTAATCTGTGCACATAAGTGAGTGTCCAGAAAAATGTCAGCTCTCATCACCCCTTCCTTACGCACCTGGAGTCTCCTGCAGGCTCTCTGCGTGTGATGTGACATTGTGCATCCTTGATGTCTCCAGTGAAAAGACCTCTTTCCACCACTGTGCTCTCTGGGCAGCACACATCCTGTTCTATTTTGCTTTAGAGCTATTATTACATTTTCAATTTCCAAAATGGACTTGAGGCAGGTTCCTGTGTCTTGTGATTTACACATTCTTCTCTCTAACTAGATTGGGGGCTATTCGAGGGCAGCGACTAGGCCTCACTTTTCCCCAAGCCTTAGGCAAAACTGACACTTGGTTGTCCCAGGCTTAGCTGAAGTGACTTGCTACAGGGCTGGGCAGTTATTTTCTTCTGTTTTGGTCCTGGGACTTTGGGACAGGGCATGGAGGAAGGAGGTCACAGATAATCAGTGGGTGCAAGTTGTAGAAGTCTCCTGTAGCTGAAGCATTGTTCTCCCGATGGGGTAGATGGCCATGACTCTACCCTAGAAGCTTCAGAACATCTCAGGATTGAGGAATCACATGAGGCCCAACCCAGGGCTAGCAGAGCCCAGGTGGGCAGGAGCTCTTGAGCTGACACTCAGGGCTCCTACACTCATGTCAAATGCTCAGTCTGCCACGTGATATCCACTTATGACCCTGAGACCAGAGACGGCTTTGGAGAGCTTTCTAGTGGATCCATAAATGTCTCACTTGGGTGATTTCTACCAACATAATTAGTAAAAGGCACTCAGGCTTTGGAATGCTGAAAGACAGTTTAGGGAGTGAACATGCTCAGATCCTGGACTGCCTGGTTGTGATCCTGGCTTCATCACCCACCAGCTGGTGATCTTGGGCAAGTTACTTCAGCTCTCCATATTTCAGCTAACTCACTTATCAAGCGGGGGTAATAATAATGCTAACCTTCTAGGACTAGAATTACTCCTAATTTGAATTAAGATAACATTTAAATGACTTAATGCATGCAACCCACTTAGGAGTAAGCACTTAAATTTGATAGCTAATTGGAGTCTGAGGACACTTGATTAAAATCCCAGCTCTTCCACCCACTTGTTTCCCTTGGGGAAGATTCTTAATCTCTTCTGTAAAAAGAATGCCTCTGATTGAGGTGTGGTGGGAATGGGCTGTGGCGGTAATGGGTGTGATCAGGGATGTACACCGCGGCCGGGCAGACAGCAGGTGTCTAATCCAAAGGAGGTAGTGCTGTCAGGAGTCTTGGGCTCAAGTTCTAGCTGTGCAGCCCACTGGCTTTATGTTCGGAGGCGACTCAATGCCTCTGACTGGGACATTGCCATCTCTTCCTTCCCCTTCATCTGCAAAATGGCATGGATGGACCTCAGCCTCTCTCAGGTCATTTCCAGCTTTGATGATTCATGACACATCCAGGCCAGTCTTCCACTGCCTTCTAGAGGTAGCCAATGAGCAAATTATACAATACCATAGTCCCCCATTATCCACACTCTTGCTTTCCACTGTTTAGTTACCTGTGATCAATCATGGTCAGCTGCGGCTCAAAAATATTAAATGAAAAACTTCCAGAAATAAATAATTAAATAGTTTGTGAGTTTTAAATGATGTGCTATTCTGAGTAGTGATGAAATCTAACACTGACCAGCTCCATCCATTGACCATCACAGAAAGAATGCTGAACATAGTGGAATAAGATATTTTGAGAGGAAGAGAGGCCACATTCACATAACTCTTATTGTAATATAGTGTTATAACTGTTCTATTTTAATATTGGCTGTTGTTGTTAATCTCTCACTGTGCCTAATTTATTAAACTTTATCATAGGTATGCATGTCTAGGAAAAATCAAGGGGATAGAATGAAACATAGGGTTGGTTCTATCTGCCTGAACATATGTCTGCAGAAGTTCTACTCACCGAAGAAACAAGAGGAGGGTGAGAGCCAGGAAGAGGGAGATAAGAGAGAAGGAGTATCCCACGGTGTACATCAGCTGCAAGGTTGACAGCAAGGCATAATGATCCACCTGAACACAGAGGAAGAGCAGACATGACCACCAAGCCATGGGGCTATGGCCACATCCCCCAGCTCCATGCCCAGGGCCACCAAGGGTCAAGGCATGGACTCCCAACATGCTTTTAAACTTTTCCTTCCCCATCCTTGTTGATACCCTAATAGGGCAGTTGAGACTGCTCTCTGGTACATCCCAGAGACCAAGGAAACTTAATAAGTGAAGAGCCCACGGGGGGTCTCACCCCTGTGACTGGGCCCATAGACCAGCACTGATACACCAAGAACCACAATAGCATAAAGGAATTGTGTTCAGAACAAGATGGTGCCTTGGGAATGAGGACAGGCTCTTTGCCCTTGGGAGCACTGTCCCTAGAGTCTATGGATCTTTCTTTCTCGAGGATAGGACCAGATTTCCGCCTGAATGTTTCCTTTCCAAAGTAAGTCTTCATAGATGACCTCTTGGAATAAGACTCAATGAAACATTGCAATATTTTCTCTGAGTCCCAGGTAGCCTGATTGTGAACAGAGGATAATTTACTGGAAATTCTGTGTAATTAAATGTGCTTTTTATTCTTTGTTCATGAGAGATTTTGGTCTGTAGTTTTGTTTTCTTGGAGTGTGTTTGCCTGGTCTTGGCATCTGTTTAACAATGGCCACACAGCTGAGTTGGGAAGTATTTCCTCCTTTTCAATTTTCTAGAGAGTTTGTGTAGAATTGGTATTATTTTATTTTTACGTATTTGGTAGAATTCGCCATTGGAGTTAAATAGGTCCAAAGTTTTCTCCGTGAGAAGGCTTTAACTACCAGGCAATTTTAATAATAGATATAGGGCTATTCTGGTTATCTATTCCTTCTTTAGTGAGATTTTCGTAGTTTTTTTGTTTAAAAAAATTGTCCATTGGCTCCAACACGTAGAAATTATTGGCAGAAAGGCATTCATAAAAATCTCTTATTATTCTTTTAATGTCTAATTCTTTCCCTTTTTAAAGTTCATCTTTCTAGAGGTTTACCAAATTTATTGATGTTCTTAAATAACCAAGTTTGGCTGATGTAATTCCATCCTGCACAGCTATTCCCTGTGGTTATTTATCTCTGTCCACCTTCTTTCCCACCTAAGTAAGTGCCACCACCCCAGGGAGGACTCAGTGGACATGGACATGAGCCCCCTGAGGCCCCACAACTATCTCTTCAGTTGTGAATTAAAGGCTGACAAAGATGATCCTTTTAAGGTGGATAATGATGAAAAGGAACATCACTTATCTTTAAGAACGGTCAGATTAGGGGCTGGTGCAAAGGATGAGTACACATTGTTGAAGTGGAGACAATGAATTACGAAGGCAGTTCAATTAAAGTAACACTGGCAACTTTGAATATGTCTGTACAGCCAGTGGTTTCCCTTGGGATCTTTGAAATAACACCACCCATGGTCTTACAGTTGAAGTGTGGTTCAGGGCCAATGCATATTAGTGGGCAGCACTTAGTAGCTGTGGAGGAAGATGCAGAGTCAGAAGATGAAGAGGAGGAGAATGTGAAACTCTTAACTATGTCTGGAAAGCAATCTCCCCCGGGGGTGGTAGCAAGGTTCCACAGAAAAAAATTAAAACTTGCTGCTGATGAAGAAGATGAAGATGATGACGTTGAAGAAGACGATGATGATTTTGATGATGAGAAAACTGAAGAAAAAGCACCAGTGAAGAAATCTATGAGACACTCCAGCCAAAAATGCACAAAAATCAAACCAGAATGGAAAAGACTCAAAACCATCAACACCAAGATGAAATAACCAAGTTTGGGTTTTATTTATTTTCCTGTTATCTGTTTTCCATTTAATTAAATTCTATTCTTACCTGTCTAATTCTTTTCTGCTTACTTTGAGTTTAATTTGCTGGGCTTTTTTCCCTAGTTTCCTAAGGTGGAAGTTAGGCCACTGACTTGATATTTTTCCAATTTTCTAATATAAGAAGGCTATAGACTGGTTAAAGAAACTGTGGCACATATATACCATGGAATACCACGCCGCCATAAAACGGAACGAGTTCATGTCTTTTGCAGGGACATAGATGAAGCTGGAAGCCATCATTCTCAGCCAACTAACACAGGAACAGAAAAACAAACACCACATGTTCTCACTCATAAGTGGGAGCTGAACATGAGAACACATGGACACAAGGAGGGGGACATCACAGACCAGGGTCTGTCGAGGGGTGGGAGGCAAGAAGAGGGAGAGCATTAGGACAAATACCTAATGCATGTGGGACTTAAAACCTAGGTAATGCGTTGATAGGTACAGCAAACCATCACGGCACATGTATACCTATGTAACAAACCTGCACGTTCAGCGCATGTATCCCAGAACTTAAGTCAAAAAAAAAAAAAAAAAAAAAAAAAAAAACAAAAAAATAAAAAAAAAAAAAAAAAAAAAAAAAAAAAAGAATGCTATACATTTCTTTCCATGACTGCTTTGGTTGCATCACAAAATTATTGATATATTGTTTTTTCATTTTTATTTGGTAAAGTATTTACTAATTTCTCTTATACTTTTTAACTTGACTTATGGGTTAATTAGAAGCATGCTGTTATGTTTTAAACACTTGGGGATTTTTCCATACATCTTACTGTTATGGATTTCTAAAAATATTTACCTTCATATTTACTATTTCTAGTGTTCTTCATTCCTTTATGTAGATTAAAATGTCCATGTGGTATGTTTTTTCTTTCATTGTTAACATCTTTTTGCTATGGTGGTCTGGAGGCAGAACTCTCAGTGTAGCTTTTGAGCTCTTCCAGATCAATCCCAACCACGTTTCTCTCTAGAATTATTCTCTATGAACCTCATCAAGATCACTATAATCTTGTCAGTCTCCAAATGCGCTTGTTTGCCTCTCGTTGAAACTAAATCTTTCCTTCTAAGACCAGCATTAACCTACCCCTTGTAAGAAATGCTCCTCAAATGCCTCTCTGCTTATTGTCAACTCTTACTGTCAAAGTACTTGTGGTCTGTTTCACAAATAGGGGTATCAATTGTATAATTCATTAATGCTTTGCTTACATTCATCTTGTCTTTCCAGATAGACTATGAAACACCTTGAAAGTAGAGAAGTGTTTTGTGCTTCTGCATACAGAGTGGTGTAGTTTCTTTAAATTGATGATTTCTGGGTCATTTAGTGTGATTTATTTTACTGGAGATACAAGGCTAACACATTTAATTAAATAACTATTTGTTTCTAAATTATGATTTTCAAAACGTATGTGTGTGTTTTATGCTTTCTAGAAACAAATTAGGGGAAATGCTTGGATTTTTTTTTCTTTCGGTTTCTTAGTTTGGGTTTCCAAGAAGCAGATCCTGAGATAAAAATTGGAATGCAGGCAGGTTGCATAAAAAGTGAAAAAAATCAGTCTGGTGTGGTGGCTCACACTTGTAATCCCAGCACTTTGGGAGGCCGAAGTGGGCGGATCACCTGAGGTCAGGAGTTCGAGACCAGCCTGGCCAACATGGCAAACCCTGTCTCTACTAAAAATACCAAAATTAGCTGGGTGTGGTGGTGGGCATCTGTAATCCCAGCTACTCCGGAGGCTGAGGCAGGAGAGGCAGAGGTTGCAGTGAGCTGAGACTGTACCATTGTACTCCAGCCTGGGCGACAGAGTGAGACTCCATCTCAAAAACAAAAACAAAACAAAACAAACAAAACAAAAAGTGAAAAAATAATCAATAGGGGAATGGAGAAGGTAGAACAAATAAAGGATATATTATCAAGGCAGCTACCATGGTGGGAATTTGGAGCTTTATCCCACTGGGGAAACTCTGGAAGCCTCAGTGTCAATTACCCCCAAGACCAAGGGAGTTGGTATAGAAATATACCAAATCTTGCCAGTCATTGATCGACAGTTACTTCTAAGGCGCATTAATTCTGTGGCCCTTATGGCCTGCATTTCAACAAAGTGGGCTTCGGAACCAGAGAACCAGCAAAGAAATGCATGCACTTGTGGTAAGAAGTTAAGCAGCTGTGTACTGAACTGATCAGGGCAAGGGAATATGGGCAGGGCACCCAGAACCCCTGCTACAGTTGGTTTAATTGTGCTTCTTTAGAGGATTTTCTTCAACTGTCTTCTACATTAAGTTTCTAACAAAACCTGGCTATTTTTCTAGAGGTTCCAAAACATCCGGTCTCCAGCTCACTCTTAGCACCAGCAGGTGACTCTTAAGTCACTTAAATACCTTTATGAAAAGCTTCCTAACCCATATGTGATACCCACCCAATGAGGAAACAGGTACTCTCATACATAGCTGAAGGGAGGACAAATGTATAACCCCTATGGCAATATCTAACAAAATTATATATGCATCTGCCTTTAATCCAGCGATCCCATTTCTAGGAATCTTCCAAAAGATATACTGCCACAAATATGAGCCAACATACACGTATGAAGTGATTCACTGTGGCATTGCTAGGAATAAAAGATTGGAAATAACCCAGATGTCCGTAGGACAGTGGCTGAACAAACTCTCATGGATATACTGAGTGAAATACTATGCAACTATAAAAGAGAAAGAGAAATATTTCTAGGGAAGAAAGGCTATAAAAATTTGGGAAAACAATTGGAAAATTTTAAAATATGGATGAAATAGACGATGTGATAAAAATCACTGTTAATTTTACTTGGTTGAAATAATAATGGTAATGTAATTGTGTAGAACAATGTCCTTAATCTAAGTAGGCATCTGATGAATTTAGGGATGAAATCTCATGACTTCTGCAAATTAGTTTTAAATATTTCAGAGGGAGAGAAAGAGAGAGAAAGCAAATGTGGCAAAATGTCGTTACATTTTGAATCTAAATAGTGGGCATATGAGTATCTACTATATCATTCTTTTAATTTTTCTATATGTTTGAATATTTCAAAATAAAGTCTTGGAGAAATTATATATAATCAATGGGTATATTACAAATTATATTGAAAAATAAAATGTATTAAAATTATATACCATATATTAAAATTATATACAGGTATACA